TCACACTCTTTGGGTCCTGTAACTGGATCTAACCAACGCCTTTATCCACTGTCCCATGTACATAATACCTCGTCTCAGAAATATAGACAGACTTTAAAATAAAACTTTTAAAAACAGTTTTTTTTCTATTAATGTGGATTATATATTATTGTATATACTACTATATGAAATATATTGTAGAACCGGTATATTGACCTTGACTTGTATAAAAATACTTATGCTGTTGGTACACTTGATTTTAAAACCCTAAGTAGGCACTTAGTCAGCAAAAGGTTGCCAACACCTGTCCTAAAGGACTAAACACATCACATGAAAAAGTTACTCTATCACCTGCAATAATTGCTACAAGTAATCATCATCATCATAATCATCAGTCATTTGATTACTTCAATCATAAGGAGGGGGGACCTAAGGGCAGAAGAAACAGACAACCTCCTCCAAAATGATCTGTTGATAGTAACTTTCAGAAAATCCAGCATTGTCATGTCTGACCACACTTTGATGTCTGTGCTCTTTTACTCACAGACGGTGCCCAACTGACCAAACTATACTGTGCAGTTGGCAAAATCAAACAAAAACGCACATGCATGAAATTAAAAATATAAAATGGCGACAATTTACACATCCCACACTGTGTGTGAAAATGATATATAAATTTTTTTATATCAAGAACAATTTTAGGAAACTCTATGACAAAGTCAGAAAACTTTTTCATGTGATGTGTTTAGTCCTTTAGAACTTCATTGGATTAAAATAATGTCTACATTGATGTGATTACATGTGCACATGAGGGAAAGAGTGGATGCTGAGATTTTAAGTTAATTTTTTTGTTTTTTTAAGTATGTGTTTCGGGTATATAGTCTTGCTTTAATTTCTTTATCTTTGTTTTTATTACTTTTGTTATTAAATGTATCACATTTTGATTATAGAAGATCGACCAAGAAAGATCAAATTTAAGAACCTGGATGCAAATTTATCATTGATGATCCAATGATCAAAGCACTTTCATAGATTTTCGTCATAGTAAATTGCTTTCTCTTTTAATTAAAGTTGCATAATTTAAATTAAAATTAAACTCAGGCTTATTATGATGAGCAACTAATACATTGAATGTGTTGTTTTGTAAAGGATCCCTTTTATGTTCACATAATCTTTTATTTAAATATGTAGAGATTCCTCCCCTATATTCCTTGTAACCTCATGGACTAACAGTAGTCACTCCTCACCACTATTAAGAGTCATGAGATGTCATGATTTGGTCACGTCACACAGCCTCTACAAGACCATCGTGCAAGGCACTGTTGAAAGCGGATGACAACACAAAAGTAATACCAAAGATGAACTGAAGGCAAGGATTATGGTAGCATTTATCAACTAAATAAGGAGACCATTCAGAAGAGTTGCAAGAGATTCCAAAATCATCTGGAGGCTGTGATTGAAACTAACGGCGATTTTATTGAATAAATTTACTCTTTGGTATTTCAAGATATTTTTGTGTAATTTTGGTAAATATATTAAGATGAGATTTCAGTGTTATTTTCATTTTTGTGTAATAATAATAATGGCAATTCATTTTAATATATTTTAATATATTTAATATATATATTAATATATATTATTTTAATATATTTAATATATATTTTATTGTTATGCGTTATTTATTTATACTCAGATATTTAAGTAAATGCTCTAGTTACCATAAATAGTATTAGCAACATTTACTGGCCTAAACGTCCAAGAAATTTCATAGAAAATATGTGTCCTCCGACAGGAATCGAACTTGTATCTTACACAGAACCGTTATATAGCCTAATGTGCTATGCCAGTTTAGCTATGAAGGAGCATCTGGTTAGCAAGGTCAATTTTACTGCTTTTAAACTGCAAACTTCCCATGATTTCCCTCGAATGTTCATATCTGTTTAAAGCATATCTTAACATAAACAAATGATGTCACACACTACAAAATGATCTAAGTTCGATTATTATTTAAATAATTGTCAGACTTAGAGCATTTACTTAAATATTTGTCTATATATAAATAACGTATGACAATAAAATATATAAGAATAATTGTCGGACTTAGTCCATGTCATAGTGTATGACAATTTATCCATCGCATGCTGTATATGAACATGGTCAGAGAGTTTAAGTTGACTCAAGCTTTTTCTGCTTTCTTTATAATAGTTAACAGATGAAATGTTCAAAGGTCTTATCTTCTGGGTTGAATTTAATTGTTGCGTATCATCAACTCAACAGGATAAGATAGATCTATTAATTTCATTAATAGATATCATATTTATATATTCAAATGGTTTGCTTTTTGACCATGAGGCCCATATTCAAATCTCACCAGGTTTGATTTGTCAAGAAGGTGACTTCTTCATGTTATCAGTCTGGAGGAGGTTATCCCAGTGTGCATCACTTTTGGGAAGTGCTTGAAAACATACCACAGGTTGACCCAAGCTTTGTGAGTTAAATTGGGTAGCTGAAATGATTAGGATTTGTTACATTCAATTATATATATATATATATATATATATATATATATATATATATATTATTTGAATAAAAACAGACCACTTTAAGGTTCCATGTAATAAGTTATTTCACCACAAGCCCTTTAACAGGGCTCTGGATCATCAGACTTTACTTACATAGGTTGAAATGAAAAAAAAAAAAAATTCAACCTTTGGAAGTAAAGTTTGATGATCCAGAGCCCTGTTAAAGGGGTTATGGTGAAATAGCTTATTACATGGAACCTTAAAGTGGTCTGTTTTTATTCAAACATATCTGCTCTGAATTTTACATTGAGCTCTCCAGATATCATCCTCCTTGGATCTACCCATGCGGATTACCTAGTTTTGTATAAACTAAATATATATATATATATATACTTGCACTGGCAACTCCCAGTGTCTTTGCTATGATAATAACAAACTTTTCAGTTATGCTTACAAAGCCGGGAGGTGAAGAGACTGAAGATGTGAAAGAGCATTATACAACAAAAATAACTATAAATAATGACGTGATTAGAATGTTCACTTTCTGTCCATGAGACCTGGGTTCAAATCTCACCATGGTCAATTTGTCAAGAAGGTGACTTCTTCATGCTATCAGTCTTGGGGAACCAATCGCAGCCTTGTGGGTGAAACTGAGTAAACGGAACCCTTGGAAGCTGTTGGTGGTTGTGCTAGCACAAAGTCACAAGTCATCGTGACCAAGGGTTTGAGCATGTTCAGACTGTCAACAGAACACTCACTCCCAAAAACTGTAACTAAGGTCTGCTCAATATAGTTTCAGTATCAATCACAAGTGGGCCTTGTGGATGTGGAACAAACATAAAAAGTGCCTGAGAAGGCATCTACAATGGGGATTAGCTAGCCTCCCTAGTAGACTGGCATCCTCGGATACGAGTGGCTGCGCCATTTAGATATGCTACATAAGAAATACTAATTGTAGGCACTAAACAAATTATAACTGTTTAGTGATAATAATAAATAAAATTAAATATTCCCTTGTCTCTCATCTTTTACAATTCTCTTGAGGAGTGGGTTGTATCATGGATACTGGAATGAGAATGAAAAATCAGAAATCCAAGTTTGAATTGAAATCAGATACTTTATCTTCACTTGTGTGTAAATAGCCTTAGGTAAGGTATGAATTCATCTCCTCCCCTTTCTATGGATTAAATAGTAGGGCTTATATCTAGAAATTGTCATTCAAAGAAAAAAACTTGGTCTTCTTTAACTTTCTACCTACCAAAAAACGATGTATCAAAAGAATGGCCTATACCTTGACACTGCTATTATTTTAACTACCTTCACTCCTCAGTAATATTTATTGTTTTAAAAAAACAATGATTAAAATTGTAATAAAACCTAAACATATGATGAAAGTGAATTTGTACAATTTTTTTGTCATTGAGAATTGACAACAAAAATAATAAACACTATTTATTTACTATATTGCTTATTTACCCTATAATGATAAATATTGTATCGCATTAGTTTTAATTGTATTATTTTTAAAATGTTGTAAATAAACAATCTAATGAATAAATAATGTTTAATATTTTTGTTGTAAATTCTTGAGAACAAAAAATGTATAAATTCACTTTCATCATATGTTTAGGTTTTATCAAATTTAATTAAAAAGCACTGATTACAATTTTGATAAAACCTAAACATATGATGAAAGTGAATTTATAATTGTATAGTGAAGGTAGTTAAAATAATATTGGTGTCAAAGGAAAAACATCCTTTTGATGCACCATTTTCTTTTTTTTTTTTGTTGACTTTACAAAAGAATCAATGGATATAATTTGCACTAACATAGCATCTTTTGTGGGCATTAAGTTTAAAGATTGTCAAAAAGTTATTAATGCAATATTCACTCGTAAAAAAAAAAAAAGAATTAATCTTACCATCTAAAAATATGATTTAGCTTTAAATAATGGGTTGATTATTGTAAAAAAAAAACAAGAAAGCAATCAATCAATAAAAACCCTGATGAGTAGATTTAATTTTTTTTTTTCTTTATCAAAATCCAATCTTTGTTCTTGTTAACATTTTCAATTTTCCTAAAGTACTTGAAATACTAAAACTGTTCCTTGCCAATTGTTGTAATGACTTGCTAAAAAATCAAACAATCCCTTATGCAAAGAAATGTTTTTAACAATGATGTAATAAATTCATGACTGGGAAAATTCCCACTTTTAATGTAAGTAGTGGAACATAGATTACTTGTTGACGGATATTTTTCTTGTTTAGCAACCAATCAATGGACAGGATTACAAATGTCAACCAATTAGAAGGGAGTTTTTATTATGCTTACAAAAGATAAGAGTAAATCACACTACTAAGATTTTTTTTTTCTTTTTCTAATTCATGTGTAGGAAAACAAAAAAGATTTATGTTGTAAAAACATATAATAATAAAGTAACAACATTGGATATCAAGCACATAAGTTGGAAAAAATGTGTTCCTGATTTAATTAGAAAGATTTGACTGCATAAGAGGTAAATATCTCTTGCTTTATTTTTTAGGTATCCTGAAAATGTAAATGATCTGATATATTAAAAACACAAAATGAATTTAAATGTGAAATGCATTGAATACATTACCAGTTCTTATACTGGTCTTATTTTTATATATATATATATATATATATATATATATATATATAAGATAGAGAGAAAAAGAGATAAATAACTTTTACTTATATCTACTAATTTGCATTGTCACTTAAAAGATATGTTTTACTTACTACTGAGTTTTAGATTTAAAAATTTTCTTTTTTTTTTTGAATTTTGAATTTTTATTAAATCAACTATTATTTTCAACTATTTCCCATTTGTTTTCCCATAATTTGTAATTCTACTTTTGCACTCGGCGTTCAAAAGTTTGTTTTTTAGTTTTTTGTTGTTTTTTTTTTTTTTCTGCAAATGCTCTCATTATTTGAAAGCATAATTAGAACAGGCTGTGGAGAAATTGACTTGGTCAGGTGGGAAAGAATGTAATCTACTTACCTTGGGTTGTAGAAATGCTTACTAACAAAAAAAACTTGTCTTTTTTAACTACACTGGTCAAGTTGTATAAAAGGAGAAGAAATCTTTCTCTTTTGTTTTTCCTTCAATGATTACCAGACGGTTTACATCGTAGGAAAAGCAACATTTTTTGCCACTTAAGGTAAGTGCTATTGCTTTCATTTCCTCAGCCTGACCAGTCTCTATACATTTGAGGCAATTTCTCAATAATGCATTGTGTGGAATTGACAATCTCGTCTAACTAAAAAATATTCACTTATATAGCAAGTTCAATCCTCATGAGTGACTCCAGACTGTTCTCTGAGTGGTTTCAATGGGCTTTTTTCTTTCTTTTTTTTCTTAATACTAAGAATTGTATCAAATAACAGAAACCACATCACTTGAGAACTTTCAACAACAATAACAGATAAAATGGATATCCCATAACTCTAAGAAAAAATAATGACATAATCAAGATGTTGGCATTCCACACTGCTTCAAACAAAAGGTTAGGAAGAAAACCTCCATCAATACTGGAAAGAGTGATAACAGCTACTGGACTTGAGAAGAAAAAATAATGACATAATCAAGATGTTGGCATTCCACACTGCTTCAAACAAAAGGTTAGGAAGAAAACCTCCATCAATACTGGAAAGAGTGATAACAGCTACTGGACTTGAGAAGAAAAAAAAATGACATAATCAAGATGTTGGCATTCCAATCAAACAAAGGTTAGGAAGAAAACCTCCATCAATACTGGAAGGAGTGATAACAGCTACTGGACTTGAGAAGAAAAAATAGACAAACAAATGTTGGCATTCCACACTACTTCAAACAAAAGGTTAGGAAGAAAACCTCCATCAATACTGGAAAGAGTGATAACAGCTACTGGACTTGAGAAGAAAAAATAATGACATAATCAAGATGTTGGCATTCCACACTGCTTCAAACAAAAGGTTAGGAGGGAAACCTCCATCAATACTTGAAAGAGTGATAACAGCTACTGGACTTGAGAAGAAAAAATAATGACATAATCAAGATGTTGGCATTCCACACTGCTTCAAACAAAAGGTTAGGAAGGAAACCTCCATCACTACTGGAAAGAGTGATAACAGCTACTGGACTTGAGTAGAGAAGATAATGACATAAGCAAAGATGTTGACATTCCACACTACTTCAAGCAAAAGGTTAGGAAGGAAACCCCTATCAATATTGGAAAGATGTTGACATTCCACGCTATTTCAAGGAAACCAGGAGGATATATTCTGGAAAGAGCAATAACACTGTACTTAAGAAACATATTTAGTTGAAAAATTATTTTAAAAGAAAGATTTTATAAATTTCGACTAAAAGTAGAAATAGCTGTTCACTCAATGCATATTGAACATTTCCTCTTATAAGGAAATAGCTAATATTATCATTACTATTACTAGATAATTATTAGATACTAGCAGGGACACCTGGCATTGCTCAGAAGACCTCTGAATAATAGTTTATTATTGACAATTTATTTATATTTTTCAGCCATCTTATGGAAAATAATTGTTTATTCAATCTTTAAAAAATAAACTTTATTGTTTTTTTGGTTTGTTACAAAATAACTAAATACCAATACCACAGTGGAGGGGCTTAGGGGGGCTGAGCATCCCCATATTTTTATTCAAAAAGACACTTTAATTTAAATAAAATATAGTTAAATTCGCAAAACAAAAATATTCAACCTGAATAATGTTGACCGTAACTCCTAATTTTTATTTCACTAATTTATTTTTCTTTTTAAATACAAATATAACTTGAAATGTAAACATAATCGATTTTCAAAACTAAATTCTCAATGTATCTTGTTTCTACTCTCTTTCAAAATAGTAATTAAATTCATTTACAGAGAAATGTTTGCTTCTTTAATGTAATGTTTAAAAGTAAAACTTTATTTACTTAAAAAAAATCTAAACTCCCCTCCAAAATAAATAGTAAATAATTATTTTTCAAAGAAATAAAGCTCACTATAGTTTTTGCTTTAAAAAATTATTAAATCAAATATGTTTAAATGTATCTTAATTTAAGTTTATTTAAATGTTTTAGCCAGACACACACATGAATATTTGAATAAATAAATATTAAACTTTTTTCAAATAACTGTATTTAATATTCTTCTTTTAAATTTACTTTGTTGTTTTAATATTCATTTTTTTTAAAGTTATGCTTTTATTTACTATAGATGTGAAAATAAATTCAAGAGAATAAAAATTTTAAAAATGCATACATGTATAGCATTTCAAAAGTATAAGCAGAATTAAAAAGTAAAAACAAACAGTAATCATAATCAAGAATAAGAATTATTACTGTTTGTTTTTACTTTTTAATTCTGAAAATTTTGAATGCATTTTAATTTTAAAATATCTTTGTAAATACAAATCATACAATGATAATTTTTTACAAAAAGCTGGCTTGGGTGATACTGAGTCTGTATATATATTTACTTTGTCATTAATTATTGTAGTTTTTAGTTTTAGTTGGACACACACATAGACACAACTGCTCTTTATATATGTATAGATTATTTAAATTATTTATAATATTCAGGGAAATCATAACTAATACTTTCATTGTTTAGTCATATGTAATATCTGTTTGTTTGTTTTTTTTATTTTTTTTTACTTTTGTTGTTTTTCAGTTGCAAAAGAAGAAATAATATGATCAACTTTCAAGGACTTTGTGGACAGACTCCATTATGGGTAAGTAAAATGTCATACAAATTGATAAAGTGATTTTCTCAAATATTTTAGCCTATTTGTCTCACTTTCTTTATATTTCTATCATAAGTGAATTTAAGCATATTCATATCTGTTTCAGTCTATTCATATCTATCCCAGTCTGTTCATATCTATCTATCTATCTATCTATCTCAGTCTGTTCATATCTATCTATCTCAGTCTGTTCATATCATCTATTTCAGTCTGTTCATATCATCATCGATCTATTATCTATCTCAGTCTGTTCATCTATCTCATCTGTTCATATCTATCTATTTCAGTCTGTTCATATCTGTTCATCTATCTATCTATCTATCTATCATCTCTATCTCATCTCAGTCCGTTCATATCTATCTATCTATCATCTATCTATCTCAGTCTGTTCACATTATCCATCTATCTATCTATCTATCCATCTATCTATCCCAGTCTGTTCATATTCATCTATCTTCATCTATCCTCAGTCTGTTCTATTATCTTCTATCTATATCAGTCTGTTCACATTCTATCTATCTCAGTCTGTTCATATCTCTATCTCAGTCTGTTCATATCTATCTATCTATCTCAGTCTGTTCATATCTCTATCTATCTCAGTCTCTTTACATATCTATCTATCTATCTATCTATCTATCTATCTATCTCAGTCTTCATATCTATCTATCTATCTATCTATCTCAGTCTCTATCATCTATCTATCTATCTATCTCAGTCTCTTCATATCATCTCTATCTATCTATCATTCATCTATCTATCTATCTATCTCAGTCTGTTCATATCTATCTATCTATTTTATCATCTATCTATCTTCTTCATACATCTATCCATTTCAGAGTGTTCATATCTATTTCAGTCAGTCTGTTCATAACTGTCTGTTTTCATCTGTCTATATTCTTCTGTCCATGTCTGTCTGTATCTGTCTATCCATCTAAACCTGTCCATATCTATCTGGCCATCTAGGCCTGTCCATATTCGTCCATCTCAGGCTGACCATATCTGAATAGTATTTCAAAAGAACTTCATCCCATGAAGCCAAGACTCAACAGATCTATAACTCATCCCAACTATGAAACATTGCTCTTAAAGCCACCTATCCCAAAAACACACTTTTCAAATTATGCTGCAATACAGGCTCTATTAATAGAGTTTAAAAGTGTTTACACAGCCTTGTGGGTGATTAATTATTTTCTACCTTACAACCTCTTTCCTACAAACAAAACATTGCAAGCCTCTTGCTAATGTGTCATTATTTCCATGGCAAATGTTCTGGTTTGGTTTGCTTTGGTTTGGTTTGTTTTATGGCATATCAACCTCAATGTGTTATTTAATCCCAACAAGATTTTTATTGCTGGTAATATCTTTTTTTTCAAAAATGTATTGCTGGTAATATTTTTCTTTTTCAAGAATATATTGCTGGTAATAATTTTTCAAAAAAAAATTATTACTGGTATTAAAACCTATTTTTATACTTTCATAATGTTTTGACCCCTTTGGTGGGGGGTAACTATTTGTTGGGACCCTGAAAGGTGCTCCCACCCCAGCTCCTCAAAACCTCCTGAGCAAAGGTCTCCTTGTCGGATGTAGTTTATAGTCTTAGCCAGGATGCAGATGTAATTTATCATCATACCCAGGACAGACAAATGTTCTGACAAGTTGCATTCTTTAGTTTCACCAGTTTAGACTTTTACAGCTCAGACCTGCCATGACATGTATGCAGGGTTGAATTATCCATATTCCCTTTGTATTCCACTAGTAAGGAAGGTTCCATTTGGACAGTATCTTCTTCAGAAATGGAACTTTGGGGAAGAAGTTCCGAAAAGTATTCTTCATAACCAGTCAGTCAGTTTTGTGCCATACATGATACACATGTAGGCGGTCATGTATCTTTTGATACATGACTGGCGAGGCAGGTTTTTCCTGCAGTAAGTTGCCATTTCTTTCTGTGGTATACCAGTTGCCATCCAAGACTATCGAACATAGTCTGTCCTGCTATTTACCCATAGCTGGGGGAGAAGAAGAAGAGTCATATTTTTCCCAAAGGTATTAGCATGTAAGTAATAGATTTAACTGGAATTCGAACTCGGCTCTCTGATTCCTCAATCCGAGCCGCTATCCATTACTCCATCGTGCCTCCTACCACTACAGTCTTAACCACTTCAAGTCTTTAGTCAACCATTTTCTTTCCTACATATCCATATAATCTGAACATTTAATCTACTTCTCAAACATCCATAGAGCAACCTCATTCAGTAACTACCTTGAGTGACTCTTGAGCCTTGTATAGTGAACAATAGTAAAAAGAAAAATGAAAAATTTTTAGGTTGTAATTTTGCATTGAGTAACAGTTCTCTCTTGTTGTGTGCCTAATAATTTTAATTTTAAAAAAATATGTATAAATTTTAAAAAATATATTTTTAGTTTAAAAAAAAATAGGGAAAAATCCCCATTACCTATAAGCATTTTTTTTCTGTTTTTTTTTTTTTTTTCAACAGTTGGACTTAAAAAGAAATTGAACATGAAAAATGTTTTTTTAATCATTTTGCCCCAAGCAAGGCAATAAAGCCACTAAGACACAAGGGGGGGTGCGAAAGAATGAGAAAAAGAAAATCATTATTAAGCAAGAGAACAATAAAAGAACAAGAATTAAGAAGACAGAATATAACGACTGACATTACATTTAAATTTTTGAAGGTCAGAGTTGATTGTTAGCAAGATGACAGAAGAGAGTCCCACAAGTGAGAAGAGCGAGAAAAGAAACTGTTAGCATAGAATTTACAGTTACATCTTGCCATTTCAAGGGGTTACTGAGTGTGGAAGAAACAAAAAGGACTATAAAAGAACAGGTTTCAATGAGGCAAAATGTGATAACAGACACTGAATTTAAATTTTTAAAGATTATAGTTGACAAGAAAGCAAGAAGTGAGAAGAGTTCCATAAGTAAGAAGTTCAAGAGAAGAAATTATTAACATAGAATTTACATTTACACCTCACAATTTTACTAATAAGGTGATGAGACCTAGCTGCCAATCTAGTACTGCACTAGTCATATATGCCAATCTAGTATTCATCAAGTTTAAAAATAAATGTGAAAAGTAATTTAATCAAAAAGTCTATATTTTATTTTATTTTATTTTTTTCCAACTGAATTCATATCTGTATTTTTCTTTCTTTATAAGCTGGGAGAAGTCTTATCAACTCTCAACATTAAACAGTCCCTACTTGATAGTGACATCTTGTTACATTTTATCTTAAGTAGACTTATTGCAAGTGAGATAAGACTAGAGCAATGATTTTTATCAATCGGAAGTGGAAAACACATTATTCTGAGTTCAATTGAAATGAATTGTCAAGTAGATAATGTCAACTAAAATTTAAATGCAAAATCTCTTGTGAACTCAGAATAAAATTGATGACCTCATCATTTCTTTTTTTTTTTTTCTTTTTTTTTTTGAAGCGCATAATCTCATTTGAAATAAAATTAATGTAGAAGGAGAGATTTTTAAAACAGGAGATAAGAAGATGATTTTTTATCAGAGGTTTAGTTCATCAAACTGGCTTTGTGGTAGGTAGAATATGAATGTACCACAGAAGGACTGCATTTCTTGTAGAATAAAGTATCATTGACAACAAAGTTTACTAACCAGAATGCATAGACATGGAAGCTCTTCTAAGCAACCATCATCATCCTTCCAAATTTTTACTTTCATTCACATATATATACATACATACATACATACACACACACATATATATATATATATATATATATATATATATATTTGTGTATTTATGCAGTAATCCTTCTTTCATGCACATTTCATTGAATATGACGGTCAAGGTGCTTTGATTTAGTTTTTTATACAATTTCTCATGCGATCAAATAATTTTTTTCTTTTCATCTGAATATTATTAGATCGCATGAGAAATTGTATAAAAAACTAAATTAAAGCAAAATCTGTCGTATTCAATGAAATATATATATGTGTATATATGTATAATATATATATATGTGTGTATATATATATATATATATATATATATATATATATATATATATATATATATATATATATATATATATACACACACACATATATATACACACTGCATTTCAAATCATTAATTAGGTGACATTTTAACATCCTATTCAAAAACTACTAGTTGTATTTTAACAAAATTATCAGAGAATGATGACAACATGTATATACACCTACTCTGTAGAAATTGTAAAGTTCTAGAAAAAGGGACAGAAGTTATGGTCATTTAACTAATTTACTTAAATTATTAGTGTGTCAAATTATTAGTGAGGTGTAAAAAAAGAAAATAACACTTTAATTGCTTCATTTGCATATTTTTATGGATACAGACAGTAACTAAGATGAAATTAAATCAAAATAAAAATTAAACAATGTTCAAAAAGGATAGTGAATTTGGTTTATATGAGATACATGATCCTCCTTTTTTTTAAAAATGACTTGCAATGGATCACTGGTCCATTGAACATATCAGTGGTGTAATTTTTCACATGATATGTTGATTATTTCCTGCCATGTCATCCTTGCTTCTAAATTGACATCCATTCTCATAAACACATCACTTCAGAATGCTTCACAAGCTTTCAATTAGGTTTAAGTCTGGAGAACTGACCAGGTCATCTTCCAAGATCCATAGAACCATAATTTCTACAGGTATTCCATAGTTTTATGCAGTGAATGCAAAGGAGAATTATCTTGCATAAATACGATAATTCTTCTGAAGGTGATTCTTTGCTTTTTTTAGCCAAGATTCCAGGTGCTCTTTGAAGAAGGTTATATAAGCATCTGTGGTTATTTTCTTACCATCAGGAACTCTCTACAGATCAACCATGATACCTCCAATAATACCAACCCAAATCACAATACCTCCTCCTCCTTCTTGGCGTGTCAAGCATTGATGATGAGCTTGTCCATTTACAACCCAACCTTTGCTCCGACCATCATGGCCATCAAGTGTTGCACAACTTTCATCTGTGAACAGAACTTTAGAGAAATCAATCTTCATGTTCTCCTTTGCCCATTTCAAATTTGTATATGTATTTTTATCAATCAAGGCTTTGTCAGTGATTTCACTAACGTCCCAACCCTTTTTCAGATGATAGCAAGTACTTCTGGACACTGTTGCTTCTCTAATGCTTTTGAAAAGTGTCCCATTGGTCAGGCCTGGGTTATTTACAACTTCATGTTTCATTTGTGACAAAGAACGTCCGGAAACAACCCTCAAGTGGCCCTTATCAGTCCTTTTACATACCTTCATAGCAGCTGCAACAAATCTTTTCACAGTTTAGTGATATCTTCCAATTATTTTGGATATTTCTAATGTAGATTTGTCTTTGGGAAGTTCAGATGTTATAATATCTTACTCAGAATTGGTCGGGTTTTGATCCAAGCTCATATATATCTCCCATTCTTCTTTTTTACTCTTCTATATGCAATAACATTAATTCCCTTTTCCAAAATAATTTATTGAAATTTAAAGGTTAGTATTAATTTTAATTTTATTTTAACTTTATTTCTATCTTGATTTTACCACCTATTTATTTTTTTAAAATTTATTCATTATTTTATTTGAATTATTTTTCTCTTTAATGGTAAAAAAATAATATGAAAGTTTAAAATGTATGTAGTATTCTAATTCATATTGTAAAGTAAAATTTGGTTAAGTATAATTAATATGACAATATAAAGATTTAAAAATCAGTTTAGTATTCTAATCTATATTAGAAAGTCCATTTCATAAAATACTCTAGTACTCTTTTACATTTCATGAATAATTGTCTCCGAGCACAAGAAGTTTTTGTTTTAGAAACATTAACTTAAC